CACACTTATCTCGCCACCTCACCGGAGATTTCCTCCAATGGATTTCCGCCGGAGACCTCCCAAATCTCCGGTCACTCCTTCCTCCGACGATACCTCTTACCGTTTCCACAAAGATCTCACTCCTTCCTCCTCCGAAGACCACCGCCGTACCACCATCCCTCCACCGAAAGCCTCCGACGCTCTTCCTCTCCCTCTCTACCTAACCAACGCCGTCTTCTTCACACTCTTCTTCTCCGTCGCTTACTATCTCCTCCACCGGTGGCGTGACAAGATCCGTTACAATACCCCTCTTCACGTCGTTACAATCACCGAGCTCGGTGCTATTATCGCTCTCATCGCCTCTTTTATCTATCTCCTAGGGTTTTTTGGTATTGACTTTGTTCAATCATTTATCTCACGAGCTTCCGGTGATGCTTGGGATCTCGCCGATTCAACCGATGCTGATCGGAATTTCATCATCAACGACGACGACCACCGCCTCGTCACCTGCTCTCCTCCTCCTCCCAAATTACCAAATCCGGAGCCTATCGTTACCGAATCGCTTCCTGAGGAAGACGAAGAGATTGTGAAATCTGTAATCGACGGTGCGATTCCGTCTTACTCTCTCGAATCTCGTCTCGGTGATTGCAAGAGAGCTGCGTCGATCCGGAGAGAGGCGTTGCAGAGGATAACGGGAAGATCGATCGAAGGATTACCATTGGATGGGTTTGATTACGGATCGATATTGGGGCAATGCTGTGAGATGCCTGTTGGGTATGTTCAGATTCCGGTGGGGATTGCTGGACCATTGTTGCTTGATGGTTATGAGTATTCGGTTCCTATGGCTACAACGGAAGGGTGTTTGGTTGCTAGTACCAATAGAGGCTGCAAAGCTATGTATATCTCCGGTGGAGCCACCAGTACAGTTCTTAAAGACGGTATGACTAGAGCACCGGTGGTTAGGTTCGCGTCGGCGAGACGAGCTTCTGAGCTTAAGTTTTTCTTGGAGAATCCAGAGAGTTTCGATACTTTGGCCGTTGTTTTCAACAGGTCAATATTTGACTCATATACTACGATTTGATTTGATTTGACTTTGATTACGTTTGCAAGATCATAAATTTTAGATATTTTCCAGTGATGAGACTTGTTACATCAAGTTTGTGTTATGAAATTGCATAGAAGCTGTTTTTGTGGAGTGGTTTGGAATTTTTTTTTGTCAAGGGGGATTGATTCATCTGACAAAGAGGTAGTTTTTGTGGATGCAGGTCGAGTAGATTTGCGAGGCTGCAAAGTGTTAAATGCACACTTGCAGGGAAGAATGCTTATGTAAGGTTCAGTTGTAGCACTGGTGATGCTATGGGGATGAATATGGTATCTAAAGGTGTGCAGAATGTTCTCGAATTCCTTACCGATGATTTTCCCGACATGGATGTGATTGGAATCTCCGGTAACTTCCTTTTCTTTGTGTGATTGATCAGATTTAAAAATCATAACTTTTAGCTTACTGTCCTCTTGAGTCGTAAAGTCTCTAGATTTATTGTTTGGTGTTATCTTGTGGTATTCTTCTAAGAAGCGCGTATTTGGTTGTTCAGGTAACTTCTGTTCGGACAAGAAACCTGCTGCTGTGAACTGGATCGAAGGACGTGGGAAATCAGTTGTTTGTGAGGCAGTGATAAGAGGAGAGATTGTGAACAAGGTCTTGAAGACGAGCGTGGCTGCTTTGGTCGAGCTCAATATGCTCAAGAACCTCACGGGGTCTGCTATTGCAGGCTCTCTAGGCGGATTCAACGCTCACGCAAGCAACATTGTCTCTGCTGTATTTATAGCCACTGGTCAAGATCCAGCTCAAAACGTGGAGAGCTCTCAATGCATCACAATGATGGAAGCCATTAACGACGGGAAAGACATCCATATCTCCGTCACTATGCCATCTATCGAGGTAATTAATCAAATCCCCTCTCTTTAAACTCGCTTTAAATAAGATCGATTTGAGAGAGTTGATTTTTGTGTTTTCAGGTGGGGACAGTGGGAGGAGGAACACAGCTTGCGTCACAATCGGCGTGTTTAAACCTTCTCGGGGTTAAAGGAGCGAGCAAAGAGGCGCCGGGGATGAACTCGAGGAGGCTAGCGACGATAGTGGCAGGGGCGGTTTTGGCCGGAGAGTTATCTCTAATGTCAGCTATTGCAGCTGGACAACTAGTGAAGAGTCACATGAAATACAACAGATCCAGCCGTGACATATCTGGAGCTACTACTACGACAACATGATGTGACTCATCATCATCAATCAATCTCTCTGTGACCCAAAAAAGAGGCAAAGATCCAAGGAAGCAAGCTTTTTTTTTTTTACAACTCATTCACTTTCAACTCTGGTAATGGACAGATTTTAAGCCATGTGCGTGGTGGTGCTCTTTTGTTCAATAAAAAAAC